GTTGTCGCTTCTGTACGTATGTGTGTCTGTCCAAAATTTGGTGCTTTTTAAAGCACCACCTGGAGAGTCCTGGTGAAATTTGGGATGGACGAGGAGGCATGGGCAATTAAGAACGAAAAACAAATCAGCGAAGCGAAGCGCCGCCCACGATGAGCATGCACCAGAACGGGCAATGTCAACAGCAAAAATGTCGAGTTTGATTCTAAAAGAGCCTAAATACGGGTAAGAAAATGGCTAGATGTAAGAATAGAATTACCAGGTCGAATTAAGGAGATCCATCTCCATTCTCTAAAAAACCGGCCTTTGACAAAAAGTTCACAAGGCGGTTACGAGGGAGTCCACAAAGAAGAAGATTTGGAGCACCAAAGAGAATAATTTGGAGTAGAAGAGCAATGTTTAAAATGTGCTTGACACAATTAAAGTGAGCTGAGACCCACTCACTATAGGCGGGGCTTGCCCTTAGCGCGGCATTTTCTACAAATACTCATAATTTGGTTCCAAAAAGTCCCAGAGACCTGGAAAAAGTGGACAGAAGTTGGCAAAGAAGAGAAAGCCACCCGCTACCAGTGGGTGGGGGCGGGACCGAAGTGTGCAAAGAATTCGCGAATGCTTGCAAAAACTGCCCAGCTATTCAAAAAAAAGAGTAGAAACTTGCGAAGGAAAAGAATCGGAGCCTCCATATCGGCGGCGTTTTTTCAGTGGGGAGTAAGGGGGTGGGGAGCCACAGCCAAAATCGTGCTTACCAAGTACATCACTGAATTCACGTGTGTAGTGTGCAGGGAAAACGGGTAGTAAAATGACCTGATAATGGACCAATTTTGTTGAGAATTAGTAGCACATAAAACAGGGAACAAAAGTAGTGTTTCTATTGTGAGCTTCGGAAGTGACTACTTCTGTGAATTTGAGAAGGAACTACTTGTGAATCTTAGATAAGTGGACGAAGAACATGAAGATTACACATTTCTTCAGATATCTTGAGCAAGAACGCAAAACTTCAGAATGTAATGTGAAACATTGTGAGGAGCGCTCCCTCCCGCGTACCTGTTGCTGTTGCCGTGCCTTCTTACCCAGCCATGTATGAGCAGTTGGTGTAGGCTGCGTGAGAATCGAACCACTTGCAGACTCGTCGGAACGTTCCTCGAACTGAATCATCAAAATTATTCAGCAATTCAAAACGAAACTTAAGAAAAAATTCAGCCTAGTAACGCTAGCCGGGAAGTATTAGACTTCACTCGAAACCCGTGAAAATTTTCTATGGAATTATTTATTCAACGAAGTTACAGGTTACTACAAGGGAGGTCTTCGCAGGACAGCCGCGCTTTTTGAACGTTCTTTCATAATTGGGGTAGGAGAGTATGGACCACCAACGATGGCTCCGTTTTCGCTTGAATGGTTGTAGAAGATTCAAAGTAGTGCGGCATTGTACTGAAAGACCTCTCTTGTTAGGGTTAAGCAATTCTGAATCAGGGCGGGCCGAAATGTGGCCTCCTAAAATACTGGCGGGGCGCCCGGACAGTCAGTATTTTTATCCTCAAATCAAATCTAGTCCAACTTTACAAACGCCGGGAGGGAGGAAGCTTATATGAAGAAGTATGGCCACGGACGACGCACGGACCAAGGATGCAATCCCGGACGCGGCGGAGTGGCAGGTGGCCTTACCGTATTCACTGTCGCGCTCCTTTGTTTCACTGCCCTCACCGTCTTCAGAATACGACGTCATCTGTCGTCATCGTCGAGCTCTAAAAGGCATATCGTAATCGCTCCAGCACGAAGCTGCCACATAATTTCCTTCATTCGATTAGCTGGTGGATAGGTTTCTAGAGACGTCGTGATGGTTCCCCGATCAGTCAACGACTTCATTGAGTTAATACTGTGCACCATGTTTGGGAGAAAAATCTTCTGATATCATCGGGGTAGGAGGCTCTCATGAAACTCTGTGATAGAGTGGATGTGCTCTTTAATATTCAGTTGGAATCACACTATTTGAATGTGACAAAGTGTTAGTAATACCGCTCCAGAAGTCACGAAACGAGGCGTATGACTTATACATACGGTGATAGCCTCTATAAGAAAGGTTGATTCCAACTGCACTCTGAGATGCCTTTTTCCGTTGATGCATGTGGTATGTATAGTGAGAATTGAGTGGGAAGCATGTACATTTGCACTGTCAGTTTAGGCGATAATAGTTCATGTGAGGGTAAGATAGTTTTCAGAGACTTTTTTGAATTTCCAGGCTCTGCTAACAAAGCTGACTTGACCAATCAGACAACCCATGTCGTCGTTTACAGTTATACGGATGCCGAATCCTACTTTATATAAAGCGCTTCGTCTGTCTGTCTGTCTGTCGTTCTGTATGTCTGTCACGAAATTCCCTAGCTCCTCGGGATCCGCCTGGAGGGACCGGGTCAAGTGTGGGATGGGTGGGCAAGGTCTCACGAAGTACAAAACACACATCAGCTAAGCGGAGCCCCGCCCACAGTGGGCGTGGCGTGCGTCGACATGAAGTGTACTGACGACCGAGATTTTCAATTCTCTTAGAAAACGACCTTGAAACTGGGCCAAAAAGTGGGTAAAGGTGTGCATTGGTAAGTCACATCGAATTAGGGAGACCCACCCCCGGTGGGCGGGGCGTTCTCTAAAAAAGCAGTGCTTTATGAAAAATTTCATAACTCGGTTGGGAGAAAGCCTACAGAGCAGAAAACAATTCGGTGTAAGGGAGCAATGTCTAAGGGTTTCCCAGCATATATGACGTGGGCGGAGGCCTGCCCACAATGGGTGGAGCGCGCTCTGAAGTGTACAGCATTTTCTACAAGTCCTCATAATTCGGGCGGAGAAGTCTTAATGAGCCAGAAAAAGGTGAGATAGAGGTATGGATGGAGAGAGGAAGCCAGCTGTCATCGGTGGGGCGAGGCTTGACCAAAGTGGGCGGAGTTTGCGACATTCATTAACTCGGCTCCTCCCCACTCTATCCATGTTTCCGGAGGCCGGGAAAAAGATGGATAGAGGTGGGTGGAGGAGTGGAGGCCAGCTGTCATCGGTGGGCGGGGCTTGACCAAAGTGGGCGGAGGTTGATAAAAGGGTCGCAATTCGGTTCGAAGAAGTCCTAGAGATAGGAAGAACGGGGTTAGAGGTTGGGCGAAAGGAAGGGGGGAAAGGAAGGGGCCAAATGCTATTGGTGGGCGGAGTTTGCCACGAGATTTATTGTCCGGAAGCAGTCCGGAGACCGGGAAAAAGAGGATAATGGTTGACGAAGAAAAAGAGGTTGAAAGCCGTCGATGATGGAGCGGATAGAATTTAGCTGAGAATTCAGATATTCGTGGTGTATCAAGCCAAATTTGAAAATTTTCGTCGCACCATCAAAATTCGCCGCAGATCTGTGTTGTGCGCGCAATGCGTGCGGCGCCAACTGGTCTATAGAATAAGTATAAAGAACTCAGGAAGTTGTCTGGCAAGCGCAAGAAAATGAGATAACAAGGGTGAGACGCGCAAACGCGTCCCAGTACCCACGTGGCCTACGAAGTGAGACACACAGCCGCGCCACGCTGTCGTCAGTATGTTAAAATCGTTTCAAGTCCTCTCTTGGGCAGCTACCAAAATTTGCGCACCCTATGCGACTGCAGACGCGCAAGTGGAACCACGATTCTGGCGCCAGGCCACACCCGCCGCACGAATCACACGCAAGCATGCGACCAAAAATGGCTGATAAGTAAAACACCAACTCTATTATTTAAAATGTTTGTTTTTCGTTGTTTTTCATTTCTTTTTCAGTAGGAATCAGGCGTAAAGGATTGAATCGTAGGCCAAGCCACAACATTTGATTGGATGTGGCTGGTAAAGATACGCAACATTACGTCAAATGAGTGATTACTGTATGGTTTTGCACAGACGTGAATAATCAGAGAACATTTGCATCTCACTGTTTCCTTCTTTCCACTGCAGCTCTGCAAAATCTCAATCGACGGCGTAGAGGCTTACTCTAACCATCATGGATAGTGTAGCTTGCGTACCTTATGCGGCACGTGTGGCATGGCGTCAGAATCGCAACTGCAATTCGCAAACCCTGACATCTGCCCTTCTATTGTTTCCGCTTAGTACATACACATACATACATGTATAAAGTGAACTCAGACTCGTCCAATAGTGAGCTGTTCGCCCACTAGTGTCGCAACGCCGACCGCCTGCAGAGGAGGCGAAGATGAAAACTACAATAATGAGAGCAAAATGCCACAATCAACTTATTAATAACCAGCCAAAACGGTGGAGCAAAATTTGCATTACACAACATTCCTGCCACGAGAGATACCATAACTAAACGGAAAAGGCTCGCTGAATTTACTTCACGTTACGCTTGCCATTTAATTTATCCTACCATTTTGCAAGTGGGAAATGAGCTAATGACGGTGTAGCGAACACGGAAATTAGTCATAACCCCCTATGCGTTCATGAAAAAAAAATAACTTCTCTGCTTTATGTCAATATTTCAAAGGTGTTCTCGTGTATCATTGAGAAAACAACCATTGGGCACTCATGATATCGTATTCTGACATCTCTGCATGCTCATGCAATCAAACAACGAAAGCCTTTCCCGTGAAATCTGAGTTTCCAAGAAAAACCTCCACCGCGCTTGGCGAAAATTACAGAAAAACAATTTGTCAGATTTTCAGACTTGTAAACGAATAATAAAAACAACAAGACAACGTTAAAAAGTAACTGAGACGCGCAAGAAGTAAAGGAGGAGTGACTAATATACCTTATGAAAGACGACAACTGGACGCTCGGATGACTTCGTGGTTGCTTGCTGATCTCGACGGTGTTTCACATATCTTCAAAAGCAGAAACTGAAGTTAAAGCAAGAAGGAACAGGAGGAATTGATTTTTCAAACACTACTCGCACCGTTTATCCTCAAATCACTGGCTTTATGTAAGATTGATATAAAAATATCCCAAAAAGGTTTCTGAAACATAGTTACCGTATCCGCAGCAAAAGCCTTCGCGGAATACTCAGTATAAGCACGACATCGTCTATGGACATGGACGAGACCTCGACATTATTGATGGAGAGAATCTCATCGCCAGGTCGAATTACGTCACCGTATCTGCAACACAATTCGTTAGACTACTTCAGCATGAAACCAAGTTGACAAGTTCGGATAAATGGAAGCTATACAAAGCAACGGAATACTTCACGCAAAACACCGACAGTAACACGTGCCACAAAAAGCCCGATTAGGTGGTGCCAGAGTCCACAGGTCCGTCGCGCGAAACGCAATACTATCTGCAATCCCGTCGCCATTTCTGCTTGATGGTGATGGTTGAATGAGGACTGTGTCCACTTGTTTCTTGTTCAGTGGTTCAAATGTACAAATGGGGTGGTGGCGATTCTAGTGTCGCTCCATCAAGAAGTTATCGCGTAATTCAAACCGAATGGATGTTTTACAGATAAGATTGCAGATAGTAGGAGTTAGTGTTAAAATTGGTTCTATGATGCAATGTTGCGGCGCCATCCTATATCAGATTTACGAGATGTCTGGGATTTATAGAAAATGATATTGCTTCCCGTTAAGCCTATTGTAATGCTTGATTCACAGGAACAGGTGATTTACGGAAATCCAACACTTTCTCCTCTCACAAATTCATGATTTCTAAGAAAAACAACGCCGAAAATAAACTAAAAAAATCTTAGATGTACATCCGTTCCCTTCAAAATCACTTCTTGATGCGAACGCATGTTAAATACATACAGTGGCGCTCAAAAGTCTTCGGTGGAATGCTCTTTCAAGCGTAACTTTTTTCCTACTGCATGAAATCCACCGAAACTGCAGTATGTTGATCAATGACATATTGTGAATAATTGCGGCTATTTGGCCGCAATGCGCTTTAGTTCACGGTACATTAGTGAGATCAAACTCAAGATCAGTGCGGAACACGGATAGCATAGGCTTAGGAAAAACCATTTTATTCGAGATAACAAAATGCAATATACTACAAGCATCAATATTTTGTAGGAAAACCTCGACTACTGATGGCAGCGGCGCAGCGCGAAGGCATCGAACCGATAATTTTTTGGATGGTAGACATTGGCATGGCGTACCACTCTTTCACTAGTTCAGCGAACTTTTCTTCTTTGTTTTTGCTATATTTGCCGGAACAACGTCTTTTGAGCTCTTCCCACATGTGCTCTATGGGATTTAGATCGGGGGATTGGCTTGGCCATTCAAGAAGTCTGACTTGCTGCTCACAGTTCCACCGAAGACTTTTGAGCGCCACTGTAACTTAGGACATAACGGAAGAAATTGAAAAAAGATTGCATTGAACGGAGGAGAGCCGGTGGGAGCCGTAATGTAGAAACTTGAAAAGAAAATGTGAGAGCTGGAAAGAAAAATAAGACGACCTGGAGGTAACAGCTTGTGTCGAAAAAAAAAAGAATACGGAGCGTCGGTACCCTTATACTTTTCCAGTTCGGAGTTCTCTCCAAAGCGGCTAGCAAATACACCGTGACTTCTGTCAACGCCATTTCCTTCTCTCAGGTAAAGACCAAGCGACTGTCCAGGCTTCTTTATAATCTCGATAAGCTGCTGGGTGTAGGCCTCATTCGAATTCGGATATCGCGTATCCGACCTGTAATATATGTTTTTCAAAAATGAATCAGAAAGCTTGGAGTCTAGTTTCCACAAATCACCTGCCATTTTATGGTACTGAACACCGGTCTTACTTGAAACAACAACCCCAGCAGGATCGAGCCAAAGAATCTGTTCCTCTGTTTTAAAGAG